AAAAAAAAACATTCAAAAGCAATTAATGATCAGACATTACAAAACCAAAACCTTGAATAGACACAAAACTTTTGAATGCTGGATTCAGGAAAAAAAAAAAACAGAGTTACCTGGACAACTTCTTTGAGACTATTTAAAAACTGGTCCAACAGGTCTCTACAACGTCAAGATCTAACTAAGCTTTAAAAGGTCAAGAAGTTTTATGGCTGACAGGATTTGCTCCAGCGCAGACGACCTTTCTCACTTTAAGCTTTTAGGGGCTGGGGGAATTTTACCCCCCCTGCGCCCCTCCTCCGTGTGTCTCAGTTTGGCAGCAGGGGCTGAAATAGTTGTGTTGGTATGGGGGGGGCAGCGGGCGGGTGGGGGCTGTGAGTTTCCGTCCTCCAGCTCTTGCATCAGGCATGCTCTACTGGGCCAGGCAGAGTGGTTATTCTGCCTCTCGGGTGGGTCTGGCTTTTGTTGCTTTGTGTCTGGGTATAGAGAGGGCGCCGGGGGGAGGTGGGGTGTCTGCGTAGCAACAAAAGTGACCCTTGGAGAACTGAGCCGAGATGTGGCCGGCAGCAGCTTTCCTCGCTTCCCAGCTGAGAGAACCCAAAGCAAGCCCCCTCCCAGCAGCCAGCCTTGCTAAGGATCCATGCACTTGACTGATGTGTGGACATTCCCTTTGGCCCGTCATTGGTGGTGTGCAGTGAGGTGGTCACTGAGAGCCATTCTCCGACAGTGTCCCCAAGTTTCATGTCATGTCGCCAGGGTGGGGGTAGAGTGGGGACGGCCTTATGTAATAGCTTCACTCCTTGGTCGCCAAACTCCTTGTGTGGGGTTTGACGGTGAGCACTTTGTCCCTGTCCCTGCAGCTCTTGGCTCTGCCCTCTCCACGGGGTAAAGGTAAGAGTGTGTGGATGGCGAGGGACATGTGTGTTCCTGAAGAGTTCTCCTCTTGCTCCTCCTGATGCTGTTAGGGGTTATTTGTTAGTGGTCCTTGGAATCACTTGGCAGCGTCACCACAGAGGAAGGAGACCCGGCATCAACAGTAAGATCCCAGGCCTGCTTCGGGCTCCTAAAGTTCCATGGCCCTCGATCCCAGGCCAGAGGAGACCCCCAAATAGGATCACCATCTCCCCAGGCAAGTCCTGTCCCGGCACACTGGTTCTGGAAGTCTGCCATATTTGCGTCTTTCAGACTCCCTCTTCTCTTGCCTGTCTTCTTAAAAACTACTGGGATTTTACCAAGGAAGTTGAGAACAAAAACAATCTAGCTCGATACAGTATTGCTCCTTGGGCTTCCCCAGTTTAAGAGCAGAGTGAGTCCATCTCATTCTGACCAGGCCAAGGGAAGAGCCGGAGTCGCCTCCCAGAGAGCAGCTAGTGCCACAAGAAGGGGCTTGGGGCTCCGTACACCTTAGGACAGGTCTAGCACCTCTCCCCGGCTTGACTGCAGAAAAGAAGAGGAGGGTCACGCAAGGTTCGAATGTGGGTGAGCGCACTTGCGTTCACGTTCTCCATTTCTATCTTAATTATCGCTGTAGAGTCGGCGTTCACCTGGGTGGAGCTAGTAATCAGCTTGGCTTCTCAGAAAGCCAAGTCCAAGGTTCCGTCGTGGTTTTAAGTTCCGGAAACTTCCTGGGCACGTCAGATGCCGGAGGGTAATTTTATGGAGTTTGTTTTGCAGGGATAGCTGGGAGTATGGCCACCCTGCTCCACGATGCGGTAATGAATCCAGCAGAAGGTAATGTTTCATGGTCCCAGGGAAGGGTAGTATGGGATGTGCACAGGGGCAGGGCAAAAGGTGATGGGGAGGGGACGGACGCCTGGCCCCCGTGAACGTAAGCAGATTTATGTACTGTGCTATGACAGGCCGCGAGGGGGGACACGAGCCTGCAAGCTTTATGCTTTTCCCAAATGGGAGTCCGCCGCACACGCTCCTCAGGCTGGCAGCATCAGCATCACGTGGGAACTTGCTAAAAACACACATTCCTAGGCCCAGACCCACGAATCGGAATCTCCGAGGACAGGACCCACACACGTCTTGCAGGCTCTCACTACCCTTCCATCAACCCGGCACCAGTGTAGGGGGAACCCCTCAGAAGCCACTGTTAGGACTTGGGTTTCATGCAGCTCATTTTTTGGGCGGAGGGGGATATGATGTTGTTGAGGATGTACACACCAGAATAGTGTTTGATACACACACACACACACACACACACACACACACCCCGAAAACACAGGGTGTGTGTGAAATCCATATGGTGGAAAATTCAAGCACACACAGCAGTGTTGTGAACATAGCCCTTGAATCCCGCTTCGAAATGAAGAATTGTACTGTTTGGCGACCTCTCCTCATTTATTAATTACATCACCGTTCGCTTTAAAGAATAAAAACAAAACGAAAAAACCATTCTGGACTATGCCAGAGGGAAAGCCAGCGGTGAAGACTTGAGTGAGACGCGGTTGACGTGCCCTTCAGGCACTCGGGCCTGGACTGGGAGCGTGGCTGGAGCTGGCTGGGGCTGTTTTGAGCTGGGTGGTTCTTTTCAGGTGTGGAAATCGGCCCACCTTTCCCCTCCATCTGAAGGTTCCTTTGGCGGAGGGGACAATTGGAGATGACGCTATCAACGGCATTTTGAGCCTGCGTTTCCATACGGCCCGCTTTCTAGTCGTCTAAAAATGTATTTGCTTGCGGCTGCCACCCCATGTCCAAGCAGTCACCGCACGGGCACCGGCCTTCAGGGATGGCCCTGTGGGGCGCTGGGGCAGGCAGCGCCCGTCCCTCCGTGGGGTTGGAGGTGTACCGGGGGGGTGTAGGCGCAGAAAGGGTCCCTTCACTTTGCTTCTCTTGCCTTGAGCTGGGTGAGATACGCTGGGGGGACTCACACCTTTCCCATCTTTTTATGTAGAAAGTTGAGTGCTCCCAGAGCCCATGATCGATTTTATCCCTCACCTGTCTTGTGCCTGAAGAGGCAGGGCAGGGGGTGGGACCTGTTCTTGTGGGTCTTCGTGGCTTGTCCGTTCATCAGCTATTGATGTGCTGGCTTTGTGGCCAGGAAAATTTATCTTTAAAAAATTAACCCCTCAGGGGACCTTTCTTAAGTAGGCAGGGGGAAAAAGCCCCCTCTAGGGAGTAGTTCGGTGGAACTCTTAAAAGCTCCAAAAAAGTACACTTTATAGCGTTTGGTCTTTTTTTAAAAAAAAACCAGAGTGAGTGGCCAGATAGGCCAGCAATTTTCATTAAGTTTTTTTAAAGGAGTAAAACTGAGGCACCACCCATCAGGCTTCTGGCCCCCTCCCCCCAGCCCTGTCATTATGATATTTGTGGGGTGAAGAGGAGGGGTCCCCCACAAACCATCACAGGTCTGGTAGGCACAATTGCACAGCGATAATAAGTAAAGATTATAGTAAAGGCATGGAGAGCATGAGAGAGGAGAGACTGAATTAATGGAGTCAGACACAATTCATGGTAGCATGCTCACCTCAGCCCCGCTTGGTGGTCCTCGTGGGGGGATCCCGGCCACAAGAGCAGGAGAGTGAACCCCCACTTTATTGCTAACCAAGGGTTATAGCTCATTAGGGGGACATGATTACAGGTAAGCACATGTCACAGGAAGGGGCAGTACAATGGGCATACACGTTAGGGGTGTGCCCATAGGAATAGGAAGGTCTAGGGGTATACATGTGACAAGATGGGCGCACCCTAGATTCATGGCAGCCTAACCCTTTGGTGGGTTTGACCTCTCTGGTGTCTCCTACAAGGAAACAGACAACTACTATCCTTATCAGAAGGGAGTGGGCCCTACTCCTTGTGGGATAAACTGTGGTGACTGCTTGCTCTCGATGTCTACTCCTGATGACCTCCAAGTGTATAGTCATTCGCAAGCAGCTAAGTTTGGCATATATTTGGGGGAGACAACTTGGGAGAAATCCTTCTGTTTCCCATAGATATTGACTTCCCATTTCTTTAAAAGTAAAGATGATATCAATTCCTTTGCCCATAGGAAGGGACCATGAACGCTTTAAGCCCAGGGGACCATGCTAAGCCCTGCTTGGTCCTCTGACCCATCAGTGGCTTTTGTATGAACAAGACTCATGTCTCCATTGGAGTTTGTCCTTGAACTCCTTCCTGGGCAAACCTAGTTCTAATGTCTCGTCCACGAGTCCTATGACACAGAAACTAAAAAGCACAGAGGCACAGGCATGCACAGTAAGTTGGGGGAAGCGGGCCATAGACCTGGAAGAGGACAGAGGTGCCGGCCGCAGGCTACTCCCTGTGGATCTGACAGGCACGGTCAGCTAATCCAGCCTGAAGTGGCTGCCAGGTTTGCAGGCCCCCTGAAACAAGGTCCCAGCAGGGAAAACTCGGTGAGAGAGCCAGCTTCCTGGCCAAATTCTCAAGGCGCATTTTTAAATGGGGTTTCTTGGCGTGGTTTCTCATGCTGTGTGTGTGTGTGTGTGTGTGTGTGTGTGTGTGTGTGTGTGTGTTTGTGTACACGCGTGCGCATGCCAGCTCCTGGGAGTTGTTACCAGGGTGTCTAACTTGTTGTTTCTCTTTATGGCTTGGCTTCTCAATTCACCCTTGACCCGGGGTGGGGCCATTCCCAACCACCTGACCACCTGCCACCTGCCCGTCCCACTGCTGCGATGGCCCGACGACAGTGGTGAAGCAGCGCATGCAGATGTACAACTCGCCGCACCGCTCCGCCCTCAGCTGCATCCGGACAGTGTGGAGGACTGAGGGGTTGGAAGCCTTCTACCGGAGTTACACCACGCAGCTGACCATGAACATCCCCTTCCAGGCCATCCATTTCATCACCTACGAATTCCTGCAGGAGCAGGTCAACCCTCACCGAGGGTACAACCCACAGTCGCACATTATCTCAGGCGGACTGGCCGGGGCCATTGCCGCAGCTGCCACCACCCCCCTGGACGTCTGCAAGACCCTCCTCAACACTCAGGAACACGTGGCTCTCTCCCTGGCCAACATCAGCGGGCGCCTGTCGGGCATGGCCAACGCCTTCCGGACAGTGTACCAGCTCAACGGCCTGCCCGGCTACTTCAAAGGCGTGCAGGCACGAGTCATCTACCAGATGCCATCGACGGCCATTTCTTGGTCCGTCTACGAGTTTTTCAAGTACTTCCTCACAAAGCACAACTTGGACACTCGAACTCCGTACTAGAGGAACACACCAGGGCGCGATTCCGGAATCGTTGCATTTTAAAAGGCTTTCCCTGCCTGCTCCCCTTCTCTGGCCCTCATACCAATTGGTTTTCACAGGGTGTTCCCGATGGGCCTTCTGCCTCCCGACTCTGGCCAGCAGTCAGTGGGTGGGTGGGGGGTTAGTCGCCCCAGGGGCCATCTGCAGGAAGGTCTGAAGTGGTGGTTGTCCGGGGCGAGGCCTGAGGAAGGGCTAAGAGACCGATTTTTCTCTTTGTCCTCCGTCTCTTGCTTCTCTGCCACAGTGTCCACCCCAGTGTCTGAGGTCACAGAAAAGGGAAGAAAGAGGGTGTGCAGTGACTGAATGCATTAGAGGCAGATTTCATGTATAAAAGTTCCAGTATGCAGTATGAAATAGACGGATAATGTTTATCCTTTATTTTTCTATGTAGAAAATTTTTAATTTGCGTGCGTGTGTATATGTATGTGTGTGCCTGTGCGTGTGTACAAATAGTATTCCAGCTGTGACTATACAGCTGTTGGGTTTGTTGTTGTTGTTGTTTTTAATAGAGGGCTACATTCTTCCATCAGGTTGAGTAAAAAGGCACCGGGGTAACGATTACATTGCTGACGGTGGCCTCAAATCGTGTTGAAAGTGCCAGGTGGAAGTTTCACTTGAATGTAGAATAATAAATACTAAGTTTATATATTTGGGATTTCTCTTTTTGTGAAAGAAAAAAAAGGTACGTTGCTGGGCGGGGGGTGGGGTGGGAATAAAACCCTAGGAATAATGCTATATTGCTTCCAGCTACTTCTCCCCCTCCTCCCTCTGATTCAGTTAAAGAGCCCTGGTGGCACAGTGGTTACGTGCTCAGCTGCTGACCAGAAGGTCGGCTGTTCAATCCCAACCAGCTGTTCCCTGGGTGGTCTGCTTCTGTAAAGATTCCAGCCTGGGAAACCCCAAGGGGCAGCTTTTACTCTGCCTGCCGGGTTGTTATGAGTTGGAATTTTTATCACGACTCACCACCTTGTGCCTTTCTCCAGGACCAAAGATGCCGCCATGTCAGGACCTGCACACCTGCTGGTTGGCAGATTCCCTCTAGCACTGTAGGACAGTGGCCTCCAGTGGCCTCAATGTTACTTGTCTTAAAGCCCGCGGAGACCAGCTCCTTCCCTTGCGTCCCCAGTCATCACTGACCTTGAAATGCATTCCTTTGGCTACTCCTTGTGCCATAGGTAATTGGAATAAATCCTATTTTGAATCTTAGGATTATGACTTTTTTTCTGCATCAGCTTTTTAACAGAGGCCCTGAAGGTACCCTTGTCTGCGTTTTGACTAAATTACCTCCTTGGCTGTCCTTTATCGCTCAAGGCTTTCTTAAAAGTGATTCAGTATGTCTAGGGCAAGGGCTGGCCCCGACCCTGCCCTGTGCTGACCACGATTTGCCCCTCTCCCGTGGAGTGGCAGAAGCCAACAGGCTGGTTAGCCTGAGCCTACGTCACCTGAGACAACTGCTTTGTTGTCTAAAATTGTCAGATGATCCCTAAAAGAATAGATACGCCCCTTTCCTGTGGGTCTGCCATTTGCTTTGCCGCCGCCAGGCCCCTCGGTGGCTTCAGCTTCCTTTTGGGAGCCCCCAGCAGAGCCTGACTTTAAAGGCCAGCAAGAAGCACAAGCCTGCTTTCATTCGCCGAGCCCATGCTGACCAGGACCAGGACCAGGACCAGCCGTGCCCCAGGCCCCTTTGGATCCTGCTCCTTCCTGGGAAGAGCTCAGCTCGCAACTGGAAAAGGAAGTTCCTCTTGGGACGATGGAGGAGTGGCTTTTGTTTTTGTTTATGGATTTAATAGTGGTGAGCAATTTTCTGGAGAAGTAACCGCAAGGGGTACCTCCCGCCTACTCCCCAGGAGCAGGGCCTAGCTGTGGCCTGCCCACCCCGGGGGCCATGCCTCCCTGGGAACCACCTGCAGCCAGGTCTGCCTCATTCTGGCAAGCAACAGCCTCTGGAGACCAAGCAGCTACTATCAGCGTTTGACCCCTTTCCACCAGCCCTGACTTGGGCTAGTGCTTCATTCTCAGCATTGGGAAGAAAAACTAGATCAAAATCTTATTGGATTATCCAACTCCACATTTTAGCCTATTTAAATGCAAATGTAGCCACCCAGCTGCAAAGTAAAAAATCTTTGTTCCAGGAATTTAGGTGGTATCTAGACAACATTCCCCTTTCTGGGAAAGCTACCTTCAGGAGGGGGGCACAAGTAGGAGAGGTGGGAGCTGGGTTTCAGAGCTGTGTGGCCTGACAGCAGGCAGATGGTCGGCCTTGGCCTTGGCCTCCCTCCCACTGAGTGGTCCAGCGTCCCATCGGCTGTGCAGGGAGGCGAGTGGAGGAGTGGGGGAAATGCCATTATCCTTTCATTCCGTGTTTAACCACAAGCTTTTTGAAGGTCTCGTGTATAAGGGGCCCATTCATTTCGTGGAAGTGAATTTTCCATTCCCAGCCTCATCTCCCATGTTTCGTATTGCTGTCTCACGCAGACTGCAGCCCACCTGTTGATTGTGACTCGGATACTGAGGGGCTGTCTAGGAACATGTTGTCCTTTGCCCCCTGACAACGACCATCGTCATAGAACACGGTTGCCTTTTGAGTGGCATCCGAAATCGAGTGATGCCACGCAGGCGCAATTAATTGTCTTGTTAGTTGCTGTCCAGCCGGCTCTGACTTGTGGCCGCCCCAGAAGAGCAACAGGAGCCGTTGCCTGGTCCTGTGGCCATCATGGGTATAACAGTCCTTCTGATTGCGGTGTGTGCGCTCTTGTGTGTATGGGCGTGGGCATGAGCGCACACACACACACACACACACACACACACACACTGCACGCACGTGCTGCTCCTAGCCCGTGGTTCGAGGTCGATCACAGTTCAAAGTTGTGCTCTTATTTCAGAACTTAAAGCTGATGTTTCTCCCCGCCCCCACCCCCAAACAATGGGATAAATCTTGACTTGCTGTATCTTTAGTCTTGGATTGAATTTAGCTCTTTAATGACCTACAGCCTCTGTGTGGCTTCTTCTGTTTTCTTTCTGAAATGCTGGTGTCTTATTCCGAGTGCGCCGCCCTCGCACGCTCCCTGGAGGAAGGCTGCCCCTCCAACACATTGTTATGATGCTTATAAGGTTTGATTGAACTTTATTTAAGGGTGGTTGTACCTGTGCGAGTCGAAGTGTGCTGCTGCTTTCTGTTCACAAGATGCACGATGAGTGTGCCCAGCGGGGAGCAAGTGTCAGGTCGTAGAGGCCCACGGTAAACAGCGCTGTTTCGGCCTCCGCGGTCTCGCCGCTCGTGGACGAAGGGGAGAAATGTGTGTTTGTGTGTGGGGAGTTTATTTCTGATAGGCTGCTACAGTTGTAACACTGGAGCCAGAGAAAATAAAGCATTGCTCTTTGACGTGGTGTGGACTCTCTGGTGGGGACGTGGACAGCAGGGCCCCGTGGATGGTAAGACGGGGCCTCGCTGTGGGGCTTGTCTCTGTTCTCAGCTCACGCATCCACTATCGGGATCTGTCACTTTGATAGAAACTGTCGCTCAACCTGCCTGCCACAGTGGAGGCAGATCCCTGCCTCGGCCTCTCAGAGACAGTTCCGTGGACACACAGGGCTGGGACCCTCTTGGGGGCCTTCCTCACCACACAGGGGAGGGGGGGGCGGCTTTCTGTCTTGGTGGGGGTTGTAGCTTACTCTCCTAGGCCTGATATCACAAAATATTACCCAGTGGGTGTCTGTGAACAGACCATTTATCTTCTCCCAGTTCTGGAGCGATGTTCAAATTCAGGGTCTCAGCCATATTGATTTCTTCTGACGACTCAGGGAAGTTGTTCTGGGAACCACTGAAACATGGGGAAAAAACAAAAATTAAAAAGCCTGCTGCTAAGGAGCAACGTGACTCCTGGTAATCATGTGTGTCAGAGTAGAACTGCACTCCGGGCCTGCTTTCTCTGACTCAGATCGGCAGGTCTTTCTTCCAAGATACTTCTGGCTGGACGCAAACCTCTAGCCATGCTGTTGGCAGCCAAGCATCCTAACCATTTGCACCACCCAGGGAATCCCTTCAAGCATGTCCATACTCCTCAAATCCCAACCCTAAAGACCAGAAAAAGAAAGTGTCCTCACCCAGTCTCCCTCTAAAATTGTTTCCTCTCTGAGTACCCAGGCCCCTATTCCTACCCACAGGAGTGGCCTGGATGGGACTAACATCACAGAGAAAATAAGCCCAGTGTTGACCCAGATAGACACAACGGCTGGGTGTGAGGGCAAAGCAAACCCACACCAGATTCAGTGCCATTAAATGGCTGCTGACTCATTGCCCTATAGGAGACAGTAGAATTGCCCTTCTGGGTTTCCGAGACCCAAACTTGCCGGAGTAGGAAGCCCTGGCTGGTGGTTTTGAACTGTTGATCTTGCAGTTAGCAGCCCGAGGGAGGTATTTACTCACTAACAGGGAAAGGAAGAGTTGTGTCTGGTCGGAGTCAAAATGACATGAGTACTTTAAGAGTCATGTGTGCCTTTGGGGAGAAAAGAGCTCGGTTCACAGCAGAAGGCAGGGGGTGCCCTAGTGGTGAGCTGGGAGCCAGGGCTTTGAGTACCACAGACGAGCAGGTGGAAGACAGGAGCTTGGCCTTCCCAGTCTCTGAGTAATGGAGAGTCATGAATGCTTTTGGGGAGGGGGATAGGATGGTTAGAGTTCTGCTGCAGGAGAAGTCATGGGACAGAAGTGGACTAAATAAATAAAAAAACGTTTTGAAGACGTGGACAGGGCATTGCTAAGAAGGAATACCTGGAAGCCAGCAGATGGTTTGGTGGCACATTTAAGTGGCCCAGAAGATGGAAAACGGGAAAAGGCAAGGGAGGTGCAACGAGGAAGATTGGGTGCAAAAGTGGATTCAACAGAGATGGGCCGGGGTGGGTGGGGCGCGCAGTGGTGGCCGC